GGCATACATAATATAAGCTATTTTAGAATCTCTTTAGGTTTATAGAAAAACTACAAAGACAGTAGAGTGCCCATATGTCCCAGCAACCCATCCAGGAGCCCCCATTGCATTCAGCTGCCATGTCCCTTTAGGCTCCTCTTGGCTCTGACCCTCCTTGCTTTGAATGGCTTGACCATTTAGAGGAGCAGTTGGTCAGGTTCCGTAGAATGGCTCTCGGTTGAGTGTGTCTGATATTTCTGTCATGACGGGGCTGGGGCCAGGGGCTTGAGGAGGAAGATCACGGAGAGAAGGTGCCCTTTTTATCCCATCATATGAAGGACATATGGGAGCAATGTGACACATCACTGTGGTGTTGACCTTAATCTCTGCATGAGGTCATGTTTGTCAGGTTCTTTGCTGTATCTTATTCTTTTCTCTTTCATCCACATTGAACTCTTTTGAAGGAAGTCACTATTTCTGCCCAGACAGAAGGAGTTGGGAGTGATACTTGAGGGCAGAGGATCTACATGAATGATAGTTTAGTATGGTACATTAAAATAAGTGGGCTGAGGGTGTAGCTCAGTGGTTGAGTACTTGCCTAGCATAAGGAAAGCCCTGGGTTCCATCCCAGCATTGCAAAAGAAAATGAATTAAAATAATAAAAACATACTTCATACTTAAAGTGTACAACTTGATTTTTTAAGTTCTGTTTTCAACCCTCACCACAATCAATTTTTAAACATTTCCATCTCCCCTAACAGAAAGCCCATATCCATTAGCAGTCACTTCCTATTCCTTGCCTCTAATGCCTCCCCAAAGCCCAGAAACCACTAATCTATTTTCCATCCCTATGAATTTGCCTTCTCTGGATATTTCATATAAGGGGAATCATGCAATATATGAATATGTATCTGGCTTCTTTCATTCAGCATTATGTTTTCCAGATTCATTCATGTTGGAGCATGTATCAGTTGCTCGTTCCCTTTTATAGCCGAATACTAACCCAGTATATGACTATGGCACATTTCTTTAGAGCAAATATCAGTTGCTCTTTCCTTTTATGACTGAATACTAACCCATCACATGACTATGGCACATTTCTTTTATCATTCATCAGTTGATGGACATCTGGGTTGTTTCCACTTTTTGGCTATTATGAATAATGCTGCTAGGAACATTCATGCCCAGATTTTTCTGTGGACAGGTGTTCTCCTTTCTCTTGTGTACATGCTTAGTAATGAAATTGTAGGTCATACTGTAACTCTCTGTATAACTACTCGAGGAACTTCCACACTATGTTCTAAAGTAGCTGCACCATTTTATACTCTCCCAGTGATGCAGGAGGCTCCCAACATTCTTACCATCATTGGGGACTGTCTGTCTTTTTAACTATAACAAGAATAGCTGCCAAGTCAGTGGTACCAAAGCATGTTCTTCCTGCTTACAAGTGGCTGGGGAAGCCAGCATATCAGGAGGAGGCCTGGCATGCACAGGATGAGAGCCACCTCATCCCATCAATCTCCACAGCCATCAGCACCTCTCCATGGCAATTGGGAGACCCTACCAAGGCTGCTGCCTGCTTATCCATGCATCCATGATGGGTACTATCAGTCAGCTGGTCTCTGAGGTAGTTTTTCCAGGCTAACAGACCCTTCTGGCCATGTGGTCTTTTTCAATCAAGCGGTCGATAAGTTCCCACTTCTTGGGGTCATCTGCCAGGCCTGCACTTGCCGGAATTCCACATCGACTGGAGTTTCAGGTGTTCCTGGATGTTCCCACCACATGCTCACAGACCATTCTCTGTCTGCCCATAAGAGGCATCATGTGTGGGTTTTCTTGTCCCTAGGTAAATCTGCTGAAAATCATCTTTCTAGTAAAAGATGATTTTTAATATGATGGATAATTTCTTTTTATCTTAGACCCCAGGCATCCCCACATGTAGGATGATTTGGCACATTGGGCTGCTTCCATATCTTCTGAGGTCTCCCTCTGTCCCAGGCACTGTGCTAAGTGCTGGGCATACGTACTGGACAAAAGCTGAGATTGCTGCCTTCATGTGAATTCCAGTTCATGGAGAGACAAGGAGAGAAGAAAAGCGATCAAAATAGTTACACAAAGATTTGATTGCAGATTTTTGCCAAGCTCCTAGAAGTAAGGGATGTATTATTGTGGGGGAAGGGATCAGGAAAGCTGAGATCTGAACACAGGTAAGAATTAGGTTGGTATAGAGTAGAAGGGAAAGTGTCCCAGGGAGGGAGAATGGCATGGAAAAGGCCTTGAGGGAGGAAATCTCCTGGCCCTGTTGAGGAATGCTAGTGGCCTGAAGGTAGTGAAAACAGCGGCCGGTGATATAAAGTGAAGCATGTGCAGCAGCCAGGAGCCAAGATACACAGGACTCGGAGGCCATGGAATTTTTTCCCTGTGAGCAATAGGAAGCCACTGAAGTTTTTTTAATCAGGGAAGAGATATGCTCAGGCCTTTCTTCATTGTCCAAAGTCCCCATAGGCAGCCTTTTAAAGAAGATATCACGGAAGATAATTTCAGGCTTCAGGGAGAACAGGCAGGTAGTGAGGACAGTGACCCAGGAGGAAGAGCGTAGTAGCCCAGTCTAGGATGAGGATCAGGAACACATTGTTAGGGCTTGCAGAGATACCAATCTCACGAACAGGTATCGGCAGGAGTTTCTATTACAACCCAAGCTATGCCAAAGCTAAAACTCTTTTTATTTATTTATTCGGTGCTGGGGAACATAGGGCCTCATGTGTGTTGGGCAAGCAGTCTACCACTGAGCTAAACCTAAGGTCTATAAGTGAAGATTTTAACCCCCCCCCCCCAAAAAAAAAAACAACCTTGGGGGTTTTGTTCTCTGTTATTTAAAACCTTTCAGGGCTTCTTGCTCTGTCTGATAACCCCCTATTGTTGCTACTTATGGCAAAAGCAAAACAAAAAATTATCAAGACATATCTGTATGATAAGATCATTGTTGCTCACCACCTCCCCAGCCTGACCCGACTGACCTACAAGCCTCTGTGCCCATAGAACACCATCCATCTCCCCACCTCCTGCTGGCCACACCGTACATATCACACCTTATTGGTGACAAACTGTGGTGGACAGCCTTCTCTTATTTCCTGCCTCTGTACCTTTACTTTCTGTTTCAAGGTCCCTTGCTATCCCTTGCCTGAATACCTCTCACTTGGCTCAGATGTGCTTTTCACAGGACCCTCTTCTGAGCCCCTCTAACATCCCACACAAACCCCCATTACTACAGTTTTCATTTTATTCTTAATTGTTTTTATTTATTGCACTATTCAACAAATATTTATTGAGTACCTGCTGCATGCCAAACTTATTCCAGGTGCTGGGAGTTTCAGCAGTGAACAAAACACATTCTGGTTAGTGGAGTCCAGTAAGGGGAGGCCAGGTAGCAAACAAAATAAGTACAACCATGTGTCACTTAACGACATCCTTAGGCAGTTTCATCACCATGTGAGCACCATAGAACACACTTACACTAACCAGGTGGTCTCATCCACTACATACCTGCACTATGTGGTCCATATGTGGTATGACCTATTGTTCTCAGGGCAACAATGAGCAAAGCAATGATGATTAAGTTCCCACAAGAAAAAAATGACATTATCAAAAGATACTGTAAACATATGATGTATGAGGCAGCAGAGCGCACTCTTCAGAGGAAAAAAAAATTTGTAAGTGAAAGGAATACACTCTAAAATGATAAGGGTAATAAAATATGGTATAAGCAAATACATGCACCAGTCACAGTTGTTCATTACCATCATCCTGTATCATGCCCCGCACATAGTTCTATGTGTCGTGCCTTTAAAAACCGCCATGTAGTGGATTTGTTCACACCAGCAGACATTTGAGCAAGGTGTTGCCCTGTGAGATTACAATTGCCCCACTGTCACCAGGTGGTAGGAATTTAAAACCCCATTACAAGGACCATCAATATGTGGGTTGTGGTCACGTGGCACATCACTGTGGATAGATAGCACCTCAGAAGGATAAAGATGCTCTGGAGAAAAAGGAAACAAGGACCAGGTGGTGTCATGTGACATGATGTGAAGCTGAACCACCTGGATGGATATATGCTGCAGGCTGATCCAGGTAGAAGGAGGGAGAAATGAAGACCACATCCTCAGGGGCTCATAGGTCATAATGGGGACCTTATCTTTTCCTCCCAGTAAATGGGAGACCAAGATACCCAAATGCCAGCCTCCACGTGGGGCAAGGGTGTCAGGGAAGCATCAAGTAGGAGAAGGCCCAGAGTCTGGTATAGTGAGAAGTGACAGAATACAGTGCCCCCCGTGGTGTGGCACAGAGCGGACACCCAGCAAACGTCTGTTAAACTGCGGGGAAGGGACTTCCAGGAATAGGGCCTTCCCAGGTGACCTTGCAGGAGAAGCTTCTGGCCCTTTTTTGCTAGTCAGTGAGGGAGCAGATCCCCATATCAGTGAGGACCCCCCACAGAAAGCCCCAGTCTTCAGTTTGGGGTCTCTGCCTCAACAGAGCCGTGGTACCTGTGCACATGGTGGGGACAGAGGGGAATGTGAATTTGGGAGGGGGGGCATCGCGTGGTACACTGCTGTGACCTGTGGCTCACCCGCTGCTGACCTTATATAACAGGAAACTCCAAAAACAGCATCTGGCAAACACACTTTGGAAATCTGGACAAGGTCCATGCCAGGCTGAATCAGTCAGTGGCCCCCACGCCCATGATAATCCCAGGCTACTTTTGAAGGCGGGCTATGAGCCCTGCCCAAGGCTTCACAGACTCATCTTGCCTTTCAGAATAAAACAAAAACAGACAACCCAAGACCTAATCCCCCAAGCCCCAGCCCCAGCTGTAGGAGCCAAGGTCCGGATTGTGCTACACCCCACATTTGAATATTATTTTTTCCTTGTCACGCACACTTCCTGGGCAGGGACTCCAAGAGCCAAATGGGCGGGAAGAAAGGTCCTTAAATATGTCCCCTCTTGGGTTCTGTTCATTCCAGGAGCCCCAGCCACTAAGGAGAGACTATATTGAAGGTAATCCTCTTCCCCTAGGTTCCCTTTCCTTCACCCTCCCCTCCGAGGTGGGGATACCTGGGCAGAGCCTGCACTGGGAACAGGGGCCCTTAGGGTGAAAAGTCCTCCATCCATCTGTGAGTGGGGCTGATCCCTGCCCCAGGATCATCATCTTAGGAGTGAGCATCCTCCCAGTTGGACGCACTGAGGGTCCCAGGTCAGATATCTGGTAGCTCTGCCATTCTTATAGCACTAGGAGGTGGAGGTCCTGGGAATTCATGGAGCAGAGGAACTGAGGTGGTCTTTGGGTGGAAGAGCTGGGTGGGCTGTCAGGGCTCTTCACTCCCCTGGAAGGCAGTGGGGCTGACAGAGATGGATGTGTGTTCAAATCCTGACCTTGGTAATTGCCAACTGTGACACCAAAGCTAGAGCACTGAACAGTTTTCAGCTTCACTCTCCTCATCTGTGAGACAAACCCATAGCTGTTCCTTCTTCATGAGCTGTTTACTATGGAGCATGGTGGTGATTGAAGGGAAGGCTGGGTGGGGAGCCTAGATGAGGGATGCTAGGGCAAAGTCAAAGTCAGCACAGATGAAGGTAGTGTGTTTGGGGGATGCTGGAGGACACGGTGTCACCCAGATGGTGGGCTGGCTCTGGGAGAAGGATCCCAGTTTGCATCAAAAAACGTTCCTGTCTGGGTGCCGAGCACTATGACAGGTGCTTTGTGTCACTATTAATCTGGGAAGAAGTTCTGTGGTCATCCCTGGCTGCTCACAAATGAGGCCCACAGGCTTCTGAGTGGTGACTCTGGGGCATGAGCCCAGTACCATCCTACTCATCCCCAGGCTCTTCTCCTGGTCTTAGTAGCTAGTGGCTGGTTCAACCATCCAAGGCTGAGGAGGGAGCTGTATGGCTAGAGTCAGGTTCAGCAGGAGGATCCTGCCCTACAGGCAGGTAGAGCCAAGAGGTCTCAGTAAGGAGGCTTCCCTAGCCTCCTGCCAAGTCATAGGGAGCGAGCAGTAGCATGTACAGGCCAGTAGCATGTCCTAGAGATCAGCAGGGTCCCTCTTCCCTGAACAGAAAGTCTGGGACTGGACCTGGGGCTAGGGTCAGCACCTCATGGGGAAGAGAAGTGGTGGAAGGAATCAGGAACAAAAATTCAAGCAGGATCCTATATCTATATCTAATATGATTAAGTATTATGTGTGTGTGATATGCAGTGATTTTTTTTCTTGCTTTTTTTTTTTTTTTTGCAAGATGGAAATTCCCCTCCCTCTACCATGCTGCCCAATGTTAGGCAATGTCTGTGGGTGGATTAAATATCTCTGAAAGGAAAGCGAGGAACTGGTAATAGTGGCCACCTCTGGGGTAGGACCTGACAGCTGGTAGAAAGGAAGAGACACTTTCCTGTGTGACCTTTTTGTCTCTTCTAAATTTTGAATGAACACGTATGCCTATTCAAAAATGTGACCAGACATTTAAAAATATGAGCTCATCGAAAAAAAAAAAAAAAAAAAAAAGTTACACTAGAGAAGAAACAGAGATCACTGGAGCAGTGGCACAGGGGTCTAGTTTAGTGGTAGAGAGTGTTTAGCATGTGGGAAGCCCTGGGTTCCGATCCCCAAAATGAGAGAGAAGGGAAAGAAAGAAAGAAAAAAATAAAAGAAAACAAAGATCACCAAATATTACCTCCATCCAATGCTCCCCTGTGATGAGGCTATCTTTCTGGTCTTCTCTTGTATGCCTGCAAAAGTGCATGTACATCACACAGGCAAGCCTGGCAGTCTTGTCATTCCATAACCTGTTCCTTGTCCCTAGAGCCTGGGACACATCTCGCACACACAGAGCCCTTATTAACATGCTGAGTAACTTTATTTCATTCCTAAATACTGCCCAATAACCACCACACTGAATGCAGCACAGTTCACTTGAACTGCCTCCTGCCTTAGGGCCTTTAGAGTGTCTTCAGTATTTATTCTATACAAACTGTGATGACTTCAGTGACTGCTTAGGAATACAGTAATTACTATAAACTCCTGAATATGAACCTTTTGTGCAGGTAAAATACCTTTGGAAGCCTTTTGCTAGATATTGCCCAGTTGCCCTCAGAAGAACCAATCCAATTTGCCAAGATGGTCTCTTGAACAAGTAACGGGAATTACCTCCATATTTTTGCACAGAAACCGGAAAGCGTGCGAGTTCCTTGCTAGCATTTATCTGTGTCTCCCAGGCTTAGCACGCCCTGATTTAATGACTTATGCCTGCTTTAGCTCTTGACCAGTCACCACCAGAAAAGGTTTTCAGGTATTTTGTTGCTAGTTTTTCTTTAATCAACCTGAGCCGTGGACTCTTGACCAATGTTCACCCAATCTAATCTGGAAAGTGTGTTACAGTTCCTGGAATGTTTGCCTGGGGGTGTTTCACCAGCTTTGCAAGCAGGTAGAGGCAAGAGTGGGACACCAGAGATGCCAGGAAGAGTCCTGTCGCCAGCACACTGCCAAGAAAGAACCCACTATGAGCAATTCTGCTTAAGATCAGCATCAGGGCTTCCTCACCCTAATTGCAGATGTCAGTTTGCCCTGGGACATCTCAAAACACCAGAAGGATCCTGAAATTTGCAGTAGAAAAGGGGACCTCGCAGTAAAAATTACAATTTTCATGGATCCAGAGAAGTTAACCCTCTTCCTATACTATTAAGGCAGCGGGGGAACAGTAAGCGTGAGCAAGTCCACTGGTGTAGGTGCCTAGATGCATTTCTGAGCCAAGGACGTGGCCTTCTTTCCAACCTCCTCCACCCTGCTGCAAGATCCCCTCTGTCCCTAGGTACCATGAGCAAGATCAGCGACGTGGTGAAGAGGGCCAGGGCCGCCTTCAACTCAGGCCTGACCCGCCCGCTGCAGTTCCGGATCCAGCAACTGGAGGCGCTGCGGCGCATGATCCAGGAGCGCCAGCCGGACATCGTGGAGGCTTTGGCCGCTGATCTGCACAAGGTGCTCGTGCTAGCAGGGCTGCAGGGCTGCGCGGGAGACCTCCACGAGAGTGGGGACAGTTGTGGTTTGGTGTAGGGTATCGCTAGCGTGCATGGGGTTCTGTGCTCAACATTTTACAAAGGATCAGGCTCGGCCCCCAAAACCCTCCGTTGAGTGTCATGACCATATTATAGAAGGGAAAATGAGGCTTGGAAAGGTTTAGGAACGGCTTGGAGTCACCCAGTTCATCAACAGCTGAGAAGTGGCATACCACCCTCTCTTTTCCTCTCACTCTCAGCAGAGGGGTTCCACTGTACCCCCAGTGCATTTTGCTGTTGTGCAGGGCACTCCTTACCCTCGTCTGTCTGCTTTTACCTCCTGACCAGTTTTCTTCACCAGTTTTTTTCATCCTGACCAGGTCTTAGCTTGTAACATAAGACCACCCATTCCAACCAATCTCCTCCTACAGGACACCCGGAGCATCTGGTGCCCTGAGTCCCACATGGGAACACCTGGCTCTCCATGCCAAGGAACAGTTTGCTGCTGCTGGGAGGCCACCTGCTCCCTGTGGCTGCAGGGGGGTTGGGGCTGCTCCTTCACTCACTCTGAGAGAATGAGACTCCTCGGATTCACAAACCTTTCACCGTAGGGCCCAGAACACATTTGAGCCTGTTTCCACCCTCCCTCTTGCCTGAGAGAAGAGAAAAGGTGTCTCTGCAGGGTCCAGATCTTTGGAGCTCACCCCTCTGCCATCTCAAGGCCTTCCCACCACCCTGTTCTGTAGTTTTAGAAGATTGCTCAGGACTATTCATCTTAAAACTAAGACGAGAAAACTCACTCTCTTGACCTCACAGCCAAAGCTCATATTTTCTGTCTGTGCCTCCCCTCTCCTCACTCTGTGCTGCCCCAGAAGCCCTCGGTCCCCTGCCTACTCCCTCTGTCACCTTGTCTCCTGGCTTCCCTTCTGACTCTCTTGGGAAGCCATCTCCCTGTCCCCATTTCTTCAGGGTGGTCTTGAGAGAGCTCCTTCCTAGGTTCAGGTCTTATTTTTGACCCATAAACTTTCCCAGACAACACAACACATTGCTCAATTCCCCCTCTCCCCCCGACACACACACTCACTAATGACCCTCAAATCTGTCTCCTCCATCCAGGCCTGGCTTTTTCTTTCAGTCACCAGCCCTCTCCCTGCCAGAACCCCCAATGTAGCAGAAGTTAGATCCACCACTCCTGTTAGACCCTCACCTCTGTTTCTCCCCCAACCCCCATGTACTCTCTATTCCTGGTCCCCCACCTGGGCTGGGGAACCCATGGTGTACAACTCCCATTGCCCTGGCAGCTGAGGACTGGGAATGCCTAGCTTGCACCCCCAGAAGCTTGGCCTTGCTTCTGGGCTAGGAGCTTACATGGTGTCTTCACCACAGAATGAATGGACCGCCTACTGTGAGGAGGTGGGGTACGTTCTGGAGGAGATTGCGTATATGATCAAGAATCTCCATGAGTGGGTCAAGGATGAGCCTGTGGAGAAGACTCCTGAGACCCAGCAGGATGAGTCCTACATCCACTCGGAGCCCCTGGGAGTGGTCCTCATCATCGGCACCTGGAACTACCCCTTCAACCTCATTATCCAGCCCATGGCCGGCGCCATTGCTGCAGGTACTAGAGGCTCCGTTCCAAGAGGGGCTCAGGCCTGGGGGAAAGAGGAGACCTGGTGGCAGACAGTGGTTTGATGTGACTTTCACAGGAGGCTGTGGAGACAAAACCATTTAGTTAGGCCTCCAGGTACCTGCATCCGAGGCCAGTCAGATGCAGATAACCATGAGAACAGCCTCCACCTGCCCATGTGTGTGGGTGGCTAGGGCAGCTCTCAGCTAAATCGACCAGGAGGGGCTAACACTACTCTCCCAACCAGCCCAAGAGCATCTCCCTCTCCTTTGTCCTTTCCTCTTTCCCAGCCTCCCAGCAACTGCAGAGGGGAAGGTGCTGCAGTTCTAGCCAGCATGAGCCTATGTGTGTACCTGTGTGCCTGAGTTTGTTCCTGTGGCATCTGCTCATGCGTGCTCCTCAGCCTCTGCCTTGTGTGTATTGCAAGTTTATGTGCTTGTGCATGTTCCTACAAGTCTTCCCTCCACGCCTCTGAGGACATTGATGTTGGAAGGAAGGCTCCAGGGTTGGTCAATAGGAGAGAAGAGCATTTGGGGTGGCCCGGTGTGGCGCTAAGTCTGTTTACTTTGCAGGGAATGCAGTGGTTCTCAAACCCTCAGAGCTGAGTGAGAACATGGCAAACCTGCTTGCCACCATCCTCCCTCAGTATGTAGATAAGGTAAGGTACCCTCCAGGGCTCAAAGATAACTGTTTGAGGTCAGGTCTTTGGGGCTTGACCAAGCCTCAGGTTGGGGAAGTATAGCTCCCAGGAGCTGCCCTCTCCTGCTGGGATGAACAGAAAGTCTCTGAGCCCTAATAGGGGAGCTCTACTTGCCAGTGGCCAGCCAGGGTAGGGTGCTGAGTTGCTGGGCCACAGGACCACTGGTCTCAGCCATGGCCTTACATGCAGGGGTGAGGAGGGAGTTGGTCTTTGCTGAGCCTTTCTTCTCTCCTTGCATGAAAGGACCTGTACCCAGTGATAAATGGGGGTGTCCCTGAGACCACAGAGGTGCTCAAGGAGAGATTTGACCACATCTTCTACACGGGCAGCTCAGGCGTAGGGAAGATTGTTATGACGGCTGCTGCCAAGCACCTGACTCCTGTCACACTGGAACTGGGAGGAAAGAGCCCCTGCTATGTGGACAAGGACTGCAATCTGGATGTGGCCTGCCGGTGAGGAGGCCATTCTTTCTGCTGTCTCTAGCACACCCAGGCTGCAGGCTAAGCACTGCAATTCTGCTCTGAATAGTACAAATGGGCCCTTTCCCCACTGGGCCTGCAGTCCTCAGCAGGAGCTCTGGGGGCGGGGGTAGTAGAAGCAGGAAAGGAACCTCATTCACAGAAAAGGTGCATTGAGTCCAGGAAGGCTTCCTGGAGGAAGAGAGTTCTAGGCAGAGCTCTGACCACTGTGTGGACATCACAGGGGAGGCAATGGTCCAAGCAGAGACTGCAAGAAAAACAAGTGTGGGGTGTTTAGGGCACGAAGAAGTTGGCCCTGACCAGCCCTCTGCCATAATTGAGCTGATAATCTGGAGATCATGACCCATGAGAAGAGCTGCTGACACTCAGTGTCCAAGGCAGGACTCATATCTTGACCTTCCGACCTTAGCCAGGGCTCTGGCCACCTCTGTGCGCCACATATGTGGTCCTTGGAGATGGGGTAGGGGGTGCAAGTAGAGGTAACACCGGGCCACGAAGGCTGATCATAGAGGCACAAAGTCCACCAACCCCAGATATCCCCCAGAAGTTCCCCACCTGCCACCAATGAGTTTAGCACACATTGGCTCCAGAAGGCGCTCTCAGCCCAGTGTCCAGAAGTGAGTGGGCTGCTTAGAAAGACTCACTGTGACCTGCTCACAGCCTGTGGCTCCCACTGACCAGTGTGCTAAGCCCACTATGCCTTGACCCTGAGCGCACGGAATAAGGCCTGCGTTCTTGGGAATCTTCCCATGGCCTGCAGGACATAATCCACTCTGGAATTTTCACAGACGCATTGCCTGGGGGAAATTCATGAACAGCGGCCAGACCTGTGTGGCCCCTGACTACATCCTTTGTGACCCCTCAATCCAGCACCAAATCGTGGAGAAACTAAAGAAGTCTCTGAAAGTGAGTATGGGGCCCTGGAGCCTGAGAGTGGGAGCTGTGAGGCAAGAGGTGGGCGACACCAGGAATGACCTCTCGACTTGAGCAAATCGTTCCTTTCTTCTGATCATACAAGGAATACACACACGCAATAGAGATCATTTCAGAAAGTTTAAAAAGCATAAAAAAAAAAAACCTCTGCACCCAGAATCCCATCACCCAGTCTGCTGACATGTGGCTTGGAAGCCTTTGTCCTTCCCTGAAGCCTCCATCTCTTCTCAGGAGTTCTATGGGGAAGATGCCAAGAAGTCACGTGACTATGGAAGAATCATTAATGCCCGGCACTTCCAGAGGGTGATGGGGCTAATTGAGGGCCAGAAAGTGGCCCATGGAGGCACTGGAGATATGGCCTCCCGCTACATAGGTGCGTATCGGGCCCTCTAGAACACTGCCAGGCTGCCTGGTCCTCCAAGGTTCCCACCAAGTTCACAGAAAGCAGCTCAGCTACGTGACCACCAGGCAGAGCCCTCTGATGAGCATAAATTATTCTCACCAGTGGGCTTGGAGAGACTCGGGGGCCCTTAGTAGGCAGGGCTGACCATGCCTCCCAAGAAGCCCCATTCCAGCCCCAGAAGCCCATCTCCCACAAGACCAGAACGCCAGTCGATGATGGGGACAGTAGAGGTCATAATAAGAACCCCTGGTGCCTAGGATTGGGTCACCAGATGAGATCCATTTGGACCCCATTTTGTTGAAGAGACAGAAGGAGATACTTGTATCCTTCCAGCTGCTGTGCCTGCCCCATTACTCCCGTGTAGGTTAATTCAGAGTAGTCCAGCGGTCTGCCATGATGGACCCCAGGAGGTGCATGGATCATGGGAAGAGCTCTTTAGCATCTCATCCGTCCCCCTCCCTAACACTGGGCAGCATCCTCTGGGAAAAGAGTAGAAGCAAGAATCAGACATGCTGGCTGGGTGGAAGGGGGTCTCAGCACTAACTCTGGCTCCTCTCCCACCTCAGCCCCCACCATCCTCACGGATGTGGACCCCCAGTCCCAGGTGATGCAAGAGGAAATCTTTGGACCAGTGATGCCCATCGTGTGCGTGCGCAGCCTGGAGGAAGCCATCCAGTTCATCAACCAGCGTGAGAAGCCCCTGGCTCTCTATGTCTTCTCCAACAATAACAATGTGAGCCGATGGTCCTCCTGCCTGGGTCCTGGGGCTTCTGGGCACAGCAGTCACATGCAAGTAGGATCCAGGGATCCACCGGCCTGAATTCAAATTACAGCTTCCTAGTTCATTGGCTGTGTGACATTGGGCAAGACATTAGACCTTCTGAACCTCTTTAGCCTTGTCTTTAAGAAGTATGTAAGGGGCTGGGGTGGTAGCTCAGTGGTAGAGCGCTCGCCTAGCAGGCGTGAGGCACTGGGTTCGATCCTCAGCACCACATAAAAACAAAGTAATGTATCCACCTAAAACTAAAGACACATAAACAAATAATTTTTTTAAAAAAAGAAAGAAGAAGTATCTAAGAAGACAGCAGCATCACCTGGTCATCGGAGCTGTTGCTCATACTACCTCCCCAGGTGGTGCTGAGGGACATGTGATACTTGGGAAGGGCTGAGATGGTAGGTAGCTGTGCCTCTGCTACCTATGTCCTTATGGCTCCAGAACATGCTGAGACAGGACAGGAAGGGAAGCCCTCGGCATCCTCTCAGCAGGAGTGGATAATCAGCAGCTTGGTCCTCAAACAGGTGATCAAGAAAATGATCTCAGAGACATCAAGTGGCGGGGTGACGGCCAACGACGTCATCGTACACATCACTGTGCACTCTCTGCCCTTCGGGGGCGTGGGTGAGTCTAGGACTGGCTCTCAGCCCACCTGCTTCCCCTCTTGCCCAGGGTTCCCACAGGGCCAGGCAGACCATCAGGGGGAATTCAGGGGGACCTGGAGCAGCCAGGAGCCATAGATTCCCACTTACCTCTCCTATTTGGACCTCTGACTTCGGCCTTGGAGCACTAATGCATCCCTGGTGCACTAATCCGTTCCACGAAGACCCCAAGTCAAGGGTCTTAACCTCTTTTAGTGGCATAGCTGGCCCAGTTTGGACTCTTCCTAGGCACTCTCTATATTGTCCCCAGCATGGATGCCCAGGAAGAAATCCTAAGGATCATTCACCTGTAGGAGGCTCAGAAAAGGGGCCCTAGAGGCTTGTAGGCACAACTTGGGGGTGGAATCCTGGCCCTGAGCAAGCTCCTCCCACAGGGCACAGCGGTATGGGGGCCTACCACGGCCGGAAGAGCTTCGAGACCTTCTCCCACCGCCGTTCTTGCCTGGTGAGGTCTTTACTGAATGACGATGCCCACAAGGCCAGGTACCCCCCAAGCCCAGCCAAGGTGAGAGGTGGAGAATGGGGCTGCCAGGGGAAGCAGGCTGTGCCAGACAGCGCAGGGGCTTGGTCCTCACTGCCCCCACCTGTCCTTCCTTATAGATGCCCTGGCACTGAAGAGGGCCACTGCGCCTGGCCCATCTGTGCTGTGCGGCCACCAGAGGATGAGACCCCTCTCTTGCTCTCCGACTCCTGGAGCTCCTGACTCTGGCCTCTTGCTTCTCTGCTCTCCTAGGCAAGCCCCCAACTCCCAGATGGACCCCAGGTCCCAACTCTCCAAGACCCTTCCCCTGGCAGGACACATAGGGACCAATAAAGGTTTCTGCATGAAAAGTCGTGCTGTTAATGCTTCTTCTTTTTTTTTTGGAGGGGTGGGATTTTAATATTTTTTAATTTCTTTTTGCATTACAATTCTTAATACACCATTATACCATAATTTATCATATCTCTGATCATATATAAGGTATGTTGACACCAAATTCACATCTTCATACATGTATTTTATATAGTGATGAGGGTCTCCTTTCACCATCCATGCTATTCCCCTTCTCCCTCCCTTTCCCTCCCACCCCTATTCCCTATCTAGAGGTAATCTTCCTCCCCTGCTCTCCCTCCCAACCCCATTTTGAGTCACCCCCCCCTTTATATCAGAGAAGACATTCGGCATTTGTTTTTTGGGGATTGGCTAACTTCATTTAGCATAATCTTCTCTAATGCCATCCGTTTCGCTGCAAATGCCATAATCTTATTCTTTTTTACTTGCTGAGTAATATTCCATTGTGTATAAATGTCACTTTTTTTTTATCCATTCATCCACTGAAGGACATCTAGGTTGGTTCCACAGTTTAGCTATTGTGAATTGTGCTGCTATAAACATTGATGTGGCTGTGTCCCTGTAGTATGCTGTTTTTAAGTCCTTTGGGTATAGTCCAAAAAGAGGAATAGCTGGGTCAAATGGTGGTTCCATTCCCAGTTTTCCAAGGAATCTCCATACTGCTTTTCCAAATTGGCTGCACCAATTTGCAGTCCCACCACATCCTCTCCAACACTTGTTGTAGTTTGTCTTCATAATGGCTGCCACTCTTACTGGAGTGAAATGGTATCTTAGAGTAGTTTTAATTTGCATTTCTCTGATTGCTAGAGATGATGAGCATTCTTCCGTATATTTGTTGACTGATTGTGTATCCTCTTCTGAGAAGAGTCTGTTCAGGTCCTTGGCCCATTTATTGATTGGATTATTTTTGGGGGTGCTTATCTTGTTGAGCTCTTTATATACCCTAGAGATTAGTGCTCTATCTGATGTGTGAGGGGTAAAAATTTGTTCCCAGGATGTAGGCTGTCTGTTCACCTCACAGTTTCTTTTGCTGAGGAAAAAACTTTTTAGTTTGAATCCATCCCATTTGGTAATGCTTCTTTTGCATCCTGCACCCACTCGCCCTGTCCCACCTGATCCACTGCCTCTTGAGATTTGGTCATTCCAGTGAACCAGTGAATCCCTCCCCACAGCCTCACATCAATCCCCAGGGCCTCGAGGCGGGAGGTCAATGTTAGACCAGGACGCAAGAAAAGACCACTGACTCCAATTAAAATCAAATTAAAGCAAGCTTATTATTTCGACCGGGGAGGCTGCCTCTCCCACCCAAAACTGCGGGAACAAGACAGCTGCTGCAGCTTTCCTGCAGCCCAGCTTTATAGCCCAGAAAGTTACACAAAGGGGGGTTACAGATAACAAACTCTGACAAGCATAACACAAAGGCTAGTTTATATTTTTGCTGGCCCCGACATCAGAATTTATGAAGGTCTTTACAGCCTCAGAGAGGGTCGTTATCTGGCCAGGGAAGGCCAAGATTGATGAGGCGTCACTTAAGTTTCAGAGAGGGCTGCTATCTGGTCAGAGAGCCAGGCATGGGTGAGTTCAAGGCACGGGCAGGCATTCCAAGCAAGTTCAGAATTTGCAGTAATTTATAGTAAAGACGAAATTATCTTTTCATGGCTTTGTGGCGAAATGGCTCCCAATTTTAAGAAAAGATCAGGTTGGGTCTATCAGTCATTATGTTGGGGTGGCATGTATTCCACTCAGACTTTGGGGTATCTGCTCCATTCCTGATGTGTCCAGCTGTGGAGAAAATAAGGAGGCTGAGCCTTGACGACTAGGGGCTCCAAAACCAGAGACCAGCGCACTCTTCTTAAATCTGATTTAGCATCTAGGGAAGGGGGTCCCTCATGAAACAACACAGTGGTCAACAGGGAGCCCCCTTGGTGATGTCAAAGTGATGCTTATTGGGGCAGAAAGACAAAGTCAGGATTTTTGTTACACAGTAGCTCACCCCAGGTTCCATCCTTAGGGTCCTGGGGAATCAGGGTCCATGGAGGGAAGACTAAAGAGGGATGATGGTCTGAAAGTCTGATCAGAGCAACAGTTAAGTATCAGCCCCACCTGGGCCAGGTAGATGAGTTGGGCAGCTAAGGCAGTAACCTGTAAGGCTGGACCTTCTGTGGCAGGCCCTCCTGGTATCATGGAAGGCAGTCCCTCCTTCAAACTGGTAAGAATGACTGTGACTGAGCTGTCACCCTGAAGGCACTGCAGCCCTATGTTGCCATCCCTCCTGTGACTACACCAGTCATTGCTACTCCCAAGACAATCCAACCCTGTGCCTGGCCCACATCCAGTCCCCGAAGCCAGAATTAGGCAGATAGGCAAGGGTCAGATCCAGAGAATGGAGGAATTGAAATGTTAATTTCATAAGAGCCCTTCCCTTTTCCAACCTGTTGCTAAGGTAACCAGTCTCAGAGATTGTCCCTCCCTACAGGGAGTTATTAATTACACCCCCTTCCTGCCCAGGTCACTCCAACTTGGCCCCTCCAGCCCTTCTGCTTCTCAACTTGTGGCCATCCCACCCAGCATCTCCATGTGTGCAGAAGGAGAGAGATAAGGGAAAGAGAGCAGGAGAATAAAGGAGGCCTAGGACATATAAAAAGGCAAAACACCCTCCCTTCTTGGGATACCAGGATGCCAGCTATGGCTGTTACCCCTTTTTGAATAAACTGTGCTTTAAATGCTTGCCTCTGTGTGCTTCTCTAATGTTATACTTCAACATGTGAGGAAGCAGAATGTCACCAGTAACTGGTGGTATAATCCCCATCTCCCTGTTTCCCACCCCTGACCCTCCACTCTCTCCTACACCATTGCTCTCCTCTCCTGTACTAGATCATTCCTTGTTGGTAACACCTCACACCTCATATTTAAAACCCCTCACCCCCAAACACCCTAAACCCTTAAGCAGTTATCTGTGCTCCATTCCCTCTAGTAAGAGAGAGCAAACTGCCCTGATTGTTGGAATGTTTTTTATGTGCACCTGAGACTTGCTGTACACATACCCAGGAAGGTGAATCATAGTAGGAAAACCAGTGTCTTCTCACAAGCCAGTCCCCTCTGGTTACTGCCTCATTTCTCTACTCTCTCCCCTTCCCAGTGAGAATCTAGTGAATGGTGGTCTACTCTTGGATGTCACTTGCTTATTTCCACTTACTTCAGCCCAGCCAGGTGAGGCTCCCTCACCTCCACCCTACCCAACCACTCTTGCCCAGTGTACCAACAACCCCCATTGATACTGAACCAGACCCACTTTGCCTACGCAGGGTGTGCCAATCACCGAGACCACCCGTATTGCAAAGCAGTTTATGGCTGAGAGTGGAAGGGGAGACCCTGTCATAGGACAGAGTATAAGGTCAGGCAACAGCAGCGACCAAAAGGCCACTGAACAGGGCTTTATTGAGATTTCACTCCCAGGTGGAACTCTAAGACCCGCAGAGTAAGAAGAGGGTCTGAGGAGAAACCGTGCAGGGGCTCTACCAGACTGGAATTTTTATTGGGCATAGGGCAGGAAGGGAGGGCTTGGGACAGGAAAGGGAGTTTTTAGAGTCCTTTGTCCCACTGGAGTTGGGGGGGGGGTTGCGGGGGGTAACTGGCTGAGATCCAGGATTGGCCAGGAGTCCCCGCTGATTGACAGGCTGTTCCATCAGTGCCTGACCAGTGTTTCGCACACACAGGCTGCTGGATGCTTTGTTCCTGAGTCACTGCCATCGACCTGACACAGGGTATGAGGATACTTATGGAATAAGGAAGAAAGGAGATTTAGGGCACAGGGAAAGGCATCTGTGGTGAAAAAGTCAGTGGTTTTGCTACAGGGGTCGCTTTATTGTAACGGGTCCACTTCATATTTTAAATATAACCTTGCTTCTCAACCACGGGCAACTTTATTTTTTTTTTATTGGTTGTTCAAAACATTACAAAGCTCTTGACATATCATATTTCGTACATTTGATTCAAGTGGGTTTTGAACTCCCAATTTTACCCCAAATACAGATTGCACTTTAAAGTAACATGTTTTTGCTCCCTGTTCTCCCTCTTTCCCTCCCAACCCTGAGGGGAACAATATGAATGTTCTTCCTGTCCTGAGCCAAGTTATCTGCCCCTTCTACAAGAATAATGAAACTCTGGATCTACAAATTGGAACTACAGCTCATTCAAGGATATAAGTTAAACATTAATTAGCTCTACCACTAATGATATGTGGGAAAACTGCCCTCTTTTAAAGCCCTCTGTCCCCGCCCCCAGGCAGTCAGAATGCCAGCTGTGTGAACATGAGTTCATTGTCTTTCTCCTTCACCAGAAAGACAATAAATCCTCTTTTTTCCTTTTTCTCAAAACTTTGTCCTTGTTACTGGATCGGCATCTGGGACAAGGACCAAGCTTTTGGTTTCAGTCTGTGCACAAATAATTGAGAAACTGATGTGACTCCATTTTTAAAAAATAAATAAATAACAGCAGCTTCTACCTCAAGGCCTGTCCTAAGGAAGGGGGCATGACCCTTGTCCTTGGAAAAACCCACAGAGCACTCCTAGGCACATACCCACCCCTGCTGAGTTGTTTGTCAGTAAATAACAGGAGACTCAGTTAGGCTAGGTGAAGACCCATAGCAACCCCCTAGCAACCTCCAATCAGCATGAGACAGGGAAAATACCTGGGATGCCAGATGACCCCCCAGTAGTTTATGGTGGTTGATAACATGTTGGGAAACCATGTAGTTTAGCATGTACACCCCTGGTGGCCTAAACCAATCAGTTCAAAGGAATTCCCCTCTTGTACTAACCAATCACCCTACCCAACTTGTTCCCACCAGTGAATGCTGCTAATCAATGTTA